AGTTACAGTTAAAGCTATTTTCTTTCCAAGAGCACTGGCCCCATTTCATAAAGCAACAGCTATGCAAAAACAATTCAAGGTTCATTTGTTTTGCCAAGATAAGTGGAAGCTGGATTGTTGCATCGGGCCCCTTGTTCTTCCCTCCAACCAAATGCCGTTGCCTATGCCTCTTGACAAACTTGACGATATGGTCGTTTATACGTGTGAACCTGTCCACATCAACGATGCTGCTCTTGCAGAACCCGTACTGCTGTTGGCATGACAATGTGGTGTGTCCAGCTTGTACCTTGACAGACTGGTCTTGTTGGAGAACTCTATCCCGCCACTTGTTGGAGTAGGTAGTAACAAAGCCAGGAGTGCTTTGGTCAACAGACTCAACAGTCTCTTTCGCCAACGCATAGGATTTGTCGCCCAAACCCAGGTCACCGGAACCAGCAAAAACCTTGGTGATGGGCATGTAAGGAAGGGACTCGGAGTTTGGGTTCACCAACACTTGATTGTCTTCTTGAGCCTCAGTGATTGCTAGTGTTTTGTTCATCTCCAAAGCAGACAGCTGCCACTGTCGACGAAGAGCCTCACTCTCGGGGGAAGTCCAGGTGATGTGGCATTCCTTCAGCACTCTAAGACGGGTCTCATTGTTGGTTTCCAAGCATTGTTGTTGACGATTGTTCAGACAGTGAGCCTTGTACAATGTATATCCATTGTATCTCCGCAATCGCTTTGAGGGTGGGCCTTAGGTTGCAGCAACACAATCATAACTATACTATACAGCTATTTTACTTGATCATTGGTCCGAGTCAAATTGGTGACAAACATATCCTGGCAACCTGTGAACAATGTGCTAGGAAGCTATTTTTTTTCCTGGACAATATTGTATTGTTTTTGTATTTTTGTTTTCTTGTGCGTGTGCTATTGGCTGCAAAACTACTTGTGCCCAACAACATTGTTGTCATGTCAAGTTAAGTCCAAGTTGCTGCTCACACATGAGTCCTCTGTGGCTGCATTTGCTTGTTCACACGAGTCTTGAGCGTCCACCCACTGGGCTGCAGGAAGGTTAATGCTCTTTGTGTGCAATGTTTTCATCTCCGCCAAGTAGTGTTTGGCTGATGTGTTGTAGACATGGTCAGTCCTTCCTCTATTGGGTGCCTGCATGGATTGGATTCGCGCAAAGTTGTTCTCAATCTCAATGTTTGTACACTTCGTGGCAAATGCTCCTTCCAAAATTCTGCGGCCTGCTCCTTCTACTAACTCACTTGCGTTGGGACAAAGACGACGAAGAGGTGCGCTGAACGCACTGTCAAGGCAGCAGGGCTTCAAGGAGTAGAACCAGTTGGCTTTGGCCTGCTTTGACGAGTTGCTGATTGTGGGATCTATGAAAATTGCAAGAGATAGTGGCAGAGCTTGGTATGGAAGGAATACCCTCTTCCACAGTTGTCCAATTGCACATGCGCAGCACCAAAATAGACGGGGGATCAAATCATTGGGTGCTTTGCCGGGTAGTCCTTGTTTAGGAATCTGGAAACTGAAACAAGAGCAGCAAGCTAGTTGAGAAGTGAAAGTGAACAAAGCAACTAGGAATGTAGTTCAATTCAATTCAATTCAAGTGTCCTTCAACAAGTGCAGCAACCGTTACACCACCAGGAAACACGCAACCAGTGGTCATGATGGAAGACAATTCCTGAATGCACCGCACTGTAGGTGACCTGTCTTCATTTGCCATGACAATCAGCGGGGCATCTCCATTCGTAAGTAAATGGGCGTCACGTTTCTGCCAGTCCATGAATGTGTACATCACTCTCTCGAGTGATCTCATCACCAAAGCACATACAAAGGAATGGTGCACTGACGCTTCAGCACAAAGAAACTCATATAGCTTCAGACTCTTGATTCTCATTGTCTTCTGAAACATTTCGTTGGAGTCCAGTTGAGGTAGAAAAGAAACGGTGGGGATCAACTCAACACAATCTGCTCTTGCTTGTGCTACTGTCTTGTCTGGAAGGGAGTGTGTACCCTTGAAAGCGTTCAGAATAATGCCGTGGTACCCCATTCCCAACCTTGGGTGGCGGTGTCAGTGACAGCTATGAACAAATTGATAGGTGCTCTACTACAGTACCAATTAGATAAACTCCACTATATGTGCGCACATATCTAGTTTTGTAGTAGTAAACGTCGTTGTAGTGGTAGTAGTGGTGGTAGTGGTGGCAGTGGTGGTGGTGGTGGTGGTGGT